TTTGTTGCCAAGTACTGGGATGGCATGGACTCGCTGTCGTTTCCCGGTCTGCGGGAGAGCCTCGCGGTGCCAGGACAAGGGGGGCGGACTGTGAAATACTTGTTCCTCTTCGGCTGGAAACTTGTCCGGTTCCACATCCCGGCGCAGTCGCACGCTGAGCCCGGCTCAGCTGGCTTTGCCGCTTGCTGTCTGACGCCGCCGCCCAGTCCGCCGCCGCCACCGCCACCGCCACCCAACCCCCCTCCTCCTTCCCTGCCGCCGCCCCCCCCGCCCTCGACTCCGCCTCCGTCACCGCCGCCTTCACCGCCGCCGCCGCTGCCACTCGATGTGCCAACTCTCCTTGCGAGCTGGGATTCGACCGTCGGATGCGCCGAGTACCTCGAGTCCAGCGCATGTGCGCCGCAGAGATGCAGTGCTTCTGGCGACGATTCGCCCATTGGCGACGCCTTCCGGTGCTGCTGCACCGTGCTCCAGCGAAACGGCCCCCGAGAGCAGCTCTCCGACTACTTCTTCCCGTGGCTCGAGAGGGAAGGGCTCGAGGCCTTTCAATTGGCACAGATCGATATTGTCAATCACAAGGAGGAGGCCGCTATCGAGAGGCTACGGCCCTTTTGCATCAGAGACCAGCTCGCCACCCCGGGCTACCTTGGCCTCGAATCGGACGGCGATGGGGTGCCGGACGCCGACAGGATGGCGTTGCCGGATGGCGTGGTCGTCGTCCAACGGGTGGTCTGCGGGGCGCTCGAAAATCTCGAGCGCGGCATCGACGTCTTCGGCTACAAGCGAGGCACCATCGCGCCCCTTCAGTACGCCGACTACGAGAAGCTGCTGGACAGCATCGCGATAGAGATGCGCGGGGTTGAGGACAAACGCGATCAGGCTGGCACGCACACCGCGGGCAACGAGTTGACGGTAGGCATTCTGAAGATTGACGAGAGCTTCATGGAGAAGCAACACAAGCAGCAGAGCGAGTACGTGAAGGGGCTGCGCAGCTCAATCACGGCTATCGATCAGAGGATGCGGGGCGCGCTCGAAAAGCTCAAGGAAACGGAGGGGGGGATGCGTCGTCAGCAGCAACGCGAGAAGCTGCTGATCGCGACTATGGTGGCGGACAACACGGTTCGAGACTCGATCTCTCGAGACTTGATGGTGCGTGCTGCCCGTGTAGTCTCTGTCAGTAGTACTCGAGACAGTAGGATGACTCACACTCTCGCCTTTGGACCGTAGGATGAGACCAAAAGGACCCTGGACGCGGCCGTGGCCAACTGCCTATATGCGGGCTTGGAAGGGGGCTTGCAAGCTTGCTGCTTATTTGGAGCTGTCCCGATTTGCTGCGCGGCGGTGCACACCAACTTCGTTGATAGGCTGCTGCCCGTGCCGGCCTCACGGGGTCCAAGGCAGCTGTCGTCCTTGCCCAAGGCACAACCTAAGGCAACGGGGCCGGCTGTTGTGCCGACGTCGGCGAAACCTCCATCAACGCGGACAGGCAAGGAATGTCACGATTTTCGTGGGGCACCACTGCCTTGCGACGAGCTCGAAAAGGCGCGTCGCTTCAACAGCCGCACCGTGCCGGGCTACTTCCTGCGCAGCAGCTACGGCACCATTCGCGATCGAATGAACAGGGCCGGGCTTTTGCACACGGCAGCTGGCAGGTGGGAGGTCGGTCACGCTTGCCCGAACGAGCCAGATACGAAGAGGTCCAGTGGAGTGGAAGATAAAGGGAAGAACCTCTTCGCTCAGACTCATAGCGACAACGTGCGACACGCCTTCGCCTATGGACGTGGCCTTGGCAACTGCCAAGTGTCGTGCAAAGAGGCCGGATTTTACGCCGCGCGGCACGTGCCCTGCAACCCAGCTTGCTCTTATGGCGAGGATTGCTGCGTTCACTTCGAAACGTGTGGTCGGGCGCTCAAGTCCGAGATCCAGGCAGAGAACGGCGCCTGTCAGGAATTGGGGGCGCGACGGAGGCTGACGCAATGTTCCTTCGGGTCCGAAAGCTTTGGGGCCATGGACGAGCAACCTATGGACATGGGTTGGACGCTGCTCAAGATGCAGTTCTTGTACAAGCTGGCCGATTTTGGCATGCACGCCATGGTTGCCATGTCGTGCTGGGATCAGCTCCATCAGATCCAATCCACTAAGTCAGCCCAGGCTCTTGAAAGAGCCGACGAGGTGGGTGGTTTCTTGCGGTCTCTTGACATTGCACAGATCCAGCGCGCTTGGTCTGTCGCCAGTAGCGCTTGCGACGAAAGTAGCACTTTATCGAGCGGCCTCGATCTAGTCGGGCGCTATCCCGTCCGCTGGCGGTTCTCAACGTGGCTCAACCATACCTTCACCGGGGAGCTGCACTGTGTGGCCGCGATAGAGAGCAGCGATACCAGGGTGCTACATCTCGGCTTCGAAGGCACTAACGATGCACAGAGTTGGGGGCTCGACATCATCGGATCTCTCATGTATGAGGACGAGTGGGGTGTGAACGGCGTAAAGGTGCATGCGGGCTTCCGAGCCGCTGCCGCTGCCATGTGGAAGCACGTGATCGAAAAGTATGGACCGCTCAAGGAGAGATACTCGCGAGTCCACGTAACCGGCCACTCCTTGGGCGGCGCTATTGCCGTCCTTGTTGCCATGAAGCTAGAAGACGAGGGCGTGCCTTATCATGCCGTCACGTTCGCTCAACCCAAAGTCACAGATGTAGAGGGCGGTCGGCAGTACGCGTCTCTCGATCTGACCCGCGTCATTTTCGAAGACGATCCCATTCCGGCAATGCCGTGGCTTTTGTCACACTTCCAGCACGCGCTCGTTGTCTACGCTGATGGTTCCATTGGCGTTCGCCCCTCCTTTGACACCCACCAAAGCCGACCGGTGAGGGATGCCGGCTTTCTTTTCCACAAGGTCACCGAGGGAATGTGCACAACACACCCTGATCTCGGACTCATGGCGCAGTGCTTGGACAGTGCGGTCGGCGTGCCCTTCATGAGAGGTTTGGACAGCACGATTGACAACGCGGATGAATGCAAATATATGTACTTGCACGCGGCTGCTAGCTACGCGCGCGGGGTGTCGATGATGGTTGATCGGATTTACACGCCAGCTGTTCTGGAGAAGGAGGCGCACATCGACGCGCTTGCAGAGCATAGTGTCTTGCTGCACAACTACACGGCCAGCCTTGGTGCGCTGATGCAAACCGAGTTTGTGCTGCAGCTCGACGAAGTGCCACTCGACGTCTCGCTGCCACGGCTCCATCTCAACGCTTTCGACCAGCAGGTGCGCAGGACTCGCATCCCCGATCCCCTCTCACGCCCGGACTCGCCTTCCCGATCCCCTCTCACGCCCGGAGTGAATCATCCCGCTGCCCATTACACTCGCAGGTTGCCGTTCGCGCGCTAGAGGACTACCAAAGCGACCTCGCAGAGCACGAACTCTCCGCCTACTTTGTACAACTGTCAGAGGGGGCCAAGGCCCGCAATCACTTGCTCGGACAGTGGGTTCAAGCCTCGATGACATTGCAGGACACAAAGGGCAGGAGGAATGCGACTAAGCTTAAGGTGCAGTTACTCGAGAACGCGTCTCGTGTCGAGGGCGTGACACATGACGCCCTCGACTGGCAGCGGGACCAGCTCGGGTACCTCGCGCTTCGATACCTGCGCGCGCAAATATCTGCATTCGAGTACGAAGCTCTGGAACCCTTTGATCCCAAGCTTGAGGCTCCAATAACATCGGCACAGCTGGCGACGATACGGAGACGGCTGACGCAAGAAATGACGGACACAAAAGAACGCAGGGCGTCCGAGCCGCCCCATTGTTATGACAGCACGGGTTTCCGACTCGTGCGCGATCGCAACCCACTAGTGTTTGAAGAGTTGGTGCGTACCAACAAGACCACCATTCGGATCCCGATGGCAAAGGATTGCAACTTCTACCGTGTTCACATGAAAAACGTGCGCGTCTACCTCGAGCTCGACCACGGAAACATGTCGGCGTTGCTTCAACAGCAGGGCTCAACCAAAATATCGCTCTCCATCACCAAGCTGGGTACTGAGTCGTTTCTTGACAGGGACGGGAGTGTCTGGGAATTCATCCCCGCAAGTACGAAGACGTTCGTGTTCGTTTACTCCATCAGCCCCCACCCTGTTGACAAGGCCACCTTCAGCTTCAGGGGCGCTCCTTCCTCGGTTGCGACATCGGTGCCGACGGCCGAGTTCTGCCCATTCCACAACGGAATGGAGTGGAACTGCGACACCCCAGCCGGAAGTCCGTTTGGGCTCTGGGAAGTTGCGGTCCCGGATGACGACGATGTGGTGCTTGGAAGGTGGCCGCAAGGCTTGAGTTTGAGCGCAGTCGCAGCTATCAAATTTGAATTTGGGCTCATCTACCGCGAGATCGATCCTCGCAAGTTGACGGCTATGTTTGTTGACCCCCCTGAAGAGGATCCCGAGAGCAATAGCTTCACGTGCACGGGCCGAGGAGTGGGACGAATGCCAGCGCAGTGCAAGACGTGCACTGCCCGAGGCTCGCTTAGTTCGCTGCAGGCGAGCTCTCCCGCGAGGGACCGGCCCATGAGCAGCACTCTTCTGGCTCTTGCTAGCGCGCTTGTAGTTGTGACGGTGCTCCTCTATGTGTGGCGCCGTAACGCACGGCAGCGACGGCTTCTATTGTGACGGGGGGGGGGGGGAGGGGGGGGGCTGTGTGCGGCGTAGGACGGACTACGCAGTAGCAAGGGTGCAAGGGGAGACTCTGTTTCTGCGTGTGTGATGAGACTGTGTGCGCGTGTGATCCGCCTATGGAAACTGTGAAATACGTACTGTGGTAAGAGTGATGCGCGTGTGTGTGAGCCCGAAAGGTACGAGTGTCACTGTCTAGAGCTTTAGCTTGATGCTTTGAAGTGTGAAAGGCACAAACTGCGTGTGTGATTCACCCTGCTCGCGATCGGGCAGGCGCGGCGAAACTGCGAGCGTCGCGCGCCGCGCAGCTGCACTCAATACACCTTGGCCAAACCAAGGCTAGGCCAACGGCGAGCGGAAGCGCCGGCGCAACGCCCAATACCCGGCGGCGCGGTAGGCGAGGCCCATGAGCACGAGCGCGCCGCACGCCGCGGCCGGCGTCAGGTCCGAGACGCCCATGCGCTCGAGCGCCGCCTCGCCGGTGGAGATGGGGCAGACCCTGGCTGGCCAGCGGACGCGCGCGGCGCGGAGGGCGAGGCGGGCGGCGCGCGGCGGCCGCGGCGGGCCGACGAGCTCGTGCTCGGTGCAGCGGAAGGAGAGGCCCGCCAGCTCGTTGCGCAGCAGGCCGGCATACGCGTACCTGTGGGCCGAGGGCGGAGGGGCGGGAGCGGTGGGAGAGGAGGCGCTGCGGGCGCGGCCTGGGCGACGGAGCGACGCCGTCGGCAAGGGCGGGAGGCAAGCGCAGGGCGAGGGGTCGGGCGAGGGCCGCACCGGAAGAGGTTGACGGTGTTGAGCACGTGGAAGAGGGGCGGCGTCGAGGCGTGCGAGACGAAGAAGCCGCCTGCAGCAGCAAGTCACGTCCTCTGCGTCACGCTCGGTACAAACGAGCAGAGGCAACGAGAGACGAGGGGAAGGCGAGGGGAGGCGTCGCCTGAGGCCATCATCAGCGCGAGCAGCAGCGGCGCGACGAGCGCCGCCGCCTTCTCGTCCGAGAGCAGCGTGCCGACCATCACGACGTACGACTCGGCGACGAGAGTGGCGAGGGTGACGAGCGCGAGGAAGAAGGAGAACTGGGCGGCGGTGGGGGCGAGGCCGACGAGGCAGTAGCAGGCCGCGCCAAAGGCGGCGGCGGCGGTCGCCTGCAGCAGCGTCTCGGCGGCGGAGCGCGCGAGGAAGTACGGCAGCGGCGCCCAGAGGGCGGAGCGCGCCTGGCGCAGAGGACGGTTCCGCGAAGGTTCAGAGGGCGGGGGAGAGATACGTCGTTGGGAGCATCGCGGGCGCGTGCGGAGAAGACGCGGAGCGTGCAGAGATGCGAGGCGTGCGGAGAGAGCCCGGAGAGCGCGCGCCTCGTGCTGGGCGATGGCCCGCTCGGCGAGGAAGGTTCGCATCGACGCCGAGGAGGACATGACCTGCGTGGTGAGCATGAAGAAGAGGGCGCCTGCGGCGGAGAGAGAGCACGGCGCAAATGAGACACGTCGGGATGGTGCTCGGAGCAGAGCGAGCCTCTGGGAATAGTCTACCCGGGGCAGATCTGCCCGTGCAAAGGGACGCGGCGGCAGGGGCGTGGTGGGTCGCGCCTGCGCGGTCCTGCGCGCCGCGCTGCGACAAGTCGACGTTCGAGAAGAGGTGCCCAACCAGCATCGCCTACAGCCTCGGGTACCTCGGCTCATCTCTCGGGTAGCCCAAAGCAGAGGTGCCAGCCTTTGCCGCGCGCCATCGTGAGAGTCCGGCCGAGCAGCGCGCGAAGGAAGGCGGGGTTGCGGCAGTTTTGCGTGTGCGCGCGCCAAAAGAGCGCCGCGAACTGCTCCGCCGGCGACGCGCGGCCGCACCCCCGCCCGGCCCTCGCGCGGCGTGCGGCGGTCGCCCTGGCGGTCGAGGCGTGCAGCAGGCGGGCCGCGGCGGCGGGCGGCCTGTGCGTCGCCGGCCCGAGCGCAGCGATGCGGAGCGGCAGCCCGAGCGGCTCTGCGTCGGCGGCGAGGTCGAGGAGGTGCTCGGCGACGGAGGCGTCGTGCGGGCGGGGCAGGCCGAGCTTCGCCTGAGAGGAAGGCTCCGAGAGAAGGCTCGGGGAAGGGCCCGCGCGAGGCCGCGAGCCGCAGGCCGAGCCCGCGCAAAGTAGGAGGGGGCGGCGGCGGTGGCGCCAAAGTAGAGCTGCGCGCCTGACGCCTCGCGCGAATCTCGCGTGACCTCGGCTGATCTCGCGTGCGATCTCCCGCGGAGGAGCATCTCTCCGCGCGCCCGGCGCGAGGAGGCAGCAGTGCGACAGCTGCGCCCACAGCTTTGCCCCCGGCTGGTGGATGGTGAGGGCGACGGCGAGGCGCGGGCAGAGGGCGCGCAGCGATCCGAGCAGCGCGCGGGCGGCGTTGGCGTCGAGTCCCGAGGTTGGCTCGTCGAGGAGGAGGAGGGATGGGGAGTGCCTAGAGGTGCGGGTCCGTGGGCGGCGGTGAGGAGGGGCGCGGGGTTGGCGCGAGGAGAGGGAGGGAGTGTGCATCATCTCGGTGGCGACGGAGACGCGCTTCCGCTCCCCGCCCGAGAGGCGGCCTGCGCGCGGCAGGGGAGGCGTGACCTCGGCTGACCTCGGCTGACCTCCGGGCAGGCCGCGGGACGAGGCGGGAGGAGGCGCAGAGGCACCGACTTGAGAGGCTGCGACGCTGGTCAGGCCGAGGGCGGCGAGGGTGTCGGTGACGAGCTGGCCGCGCGAGGCGGCGGGCACCGCGCGGAGCCGCGCTGCCAGCATCAGCGTCTCGCTCGCCGTGAGGCAGCCGTAGAGCTTCTCTTCCTGCGGAGGGCCGAGAGGATGCGGAGAGGGCGCCTTGTGACGCGACACTCTGCAGCTGCTGGCGGCCGGTGGGTCGCTCCTCGCGCAAGCTGCGGCTGCCCCAAGCAAACGACCTGACTGTCCACTACTACTGTTTGTGTGCTGCGTGCTGCCGACACTCGCGCGGGCTGCGGGCAGAGCAGCCACCTGCGGCACGTATCCGATCCTCTCCGCAGTGGCGCCGTCATACTCGGCGCCGTCGAGCAGGACACGGCCCGCATCGGGCAGCGCATGGCCAGCGAGGATCCGCAGCAGCGTTGTCTTGCCCGCGCCCGACGGGCCGAGTATGCCAAGGATGCCGCCTTCGAGCGGCGACTCGGAGTCTGACGCGTCATCCTCCGACTCGCCGCTCACCCACGCGTCCGCCGACGGAGGTTCGCCCGAGAGCGCGTGGCCGTGCGCGTCCTGCAGCACCCGCCTTTGGCCGCGGCCGTCGGGCACGCTGGCGCATAGGCCTTCCCAGACGATCGAGTGCTGAGACAGCATTGACCGCGCGCGCGGCCGGGGCTGGCTCCAACAAAACTTACAGCGGCCCGGGGCCCCCGCAGTGCTCCGCTACGAGCTCGTAGCCGATGCCAGCGGGAAGCTGGAGGCAGGTCGCTAGACTGAGATGAGACCGCCAGTGGAGTTGGGACCCCACCGTGCACCGCGCTGCGAGCCTGTCGTGTCCCTTGTCAGGAGCAGGAGAGCCCCACCTGTCCCCCTGAAGCCTCCTGATCGTCCTTCCAAAATCCTGCTCGTGCAGGTGGGGACCCTGTCCTCCTCCCCCATCCCTCGTCTGGGTTTGTCTGTTTTCTTTCTTTCTTTCTTTAGCCGATGTTCTGTGTACACACGCCTCTGTGTTCTCGGGTCTACTTCCCTGACTCATCTGTGCTGTGATCCGTCCCCCACGGCTGTGCTGGCTGCTGCGGGTTGGGCCCCTTGAGCCTTGTGTGCGTGCTAGAGCCGTAGAGGACGCCTCCTCCCGAGTCACACCACAGCGCTGGTCGAGTGACTCAGGGAATTCCGCGCCTGACTCGGGCGGGAACACCAATCTGCGAGGCGTGCGCGAGGCCATTCCGGCCGGCGTGGCGGCGTGCCGATTTTGGCGAATATGCAGGCTAGCGGCGGCGAGGCGGCGATCGGCGGCGAGGCGGCGGCCGGTGGCGAGGCGGAGAGCGGTGGCGAAAATAATAGAGCGGCGGTGGGCGAGGCGGCGAATGGTGGCGAGGAGGCGGCGAGCGCGGGCCACGGGGCGGCGAGCGCTGGCGCCAGAGCGGCGGGGCGCGGGAGCGGTCCGGCGAGCGCGACTGAAAGCGGCGCTGGTGGCGCTGGTTGCGCTCGAAGCGCGGGCGCCGGACCGGCGAGCGGGACCGCGAGCGCCAGCGCGGCTCGAAGCGCTGCCGGTGCCACAGCCACACATCCTCCATCTCCTCCGCCTCCCTCGAGCGCTGGCGCCAGAGCGGCGGGGCGCGGGAGCGGTCCGGCGAGCGCGACTGAAAGCGGCGCTGGTGGCGCTGGTTGCGCTCGAAGCGCGGGCGCCGGACCGGCGAGCGGGACCGCGAGCGCCAGCGCGGCTCGAAGCGCTGCCGGTGCCACAGCCACGCATCCTCCATCTCCTCCGCCTCCCTCGCCCACTCCACCTCACGAGCCCATTCATCCGACCCATCATCTGCGAGCCACGACGCCTCGAGCGCTGCCCGCTGCGAGGCGAGTTCCTCCTGACGCCGCCGCCGCCGCGCAGCCTCCTCCTCGGCGGGCGGCTGCGGGACGCAGTCGCTCGCGGTGCGCAGGACGCCGTCCCAAAGCGGCCAGTCCTCGATGGATCTCGCAAAGTTGCCGCAGGCCGGGCACGCGTTGTCGATCCTCGTGCCAGCTCGCTCCTCCCCGTGGTGGCCCATGAGGTCGGAGCAGCCGAACGCGTCGACCGGCCCAAAGGAGCACCGGCCGCACATGCGAGCCGCCGGCATCTCGGAGCGCAGCTGCAGCTCGAGTAGGTTAGCCTCGCGAGCCGCGCCCTTGGATGCCTCGGCGACCACCGCCGCGACGCGACGCGCAGTCGGCAGCAGCACCTTGGCTTCGACAAAGGCGGCAAAGGTTGTGCGTGACGTGACTCTCGCAATCTCGCTGTCGTCAATGGGCTCGCTCGTGCAGCCGATGGACGCACAGAGGTGGCGGCCGGCGTACTTGTGCCGAGTGCGCACGTCAGCGGCGTCCGCCTTGAGGACGAGGTCGGAGACTGCGCCCAACGCGGCCGCGGCGTGCCGCACTTGCGACTCAACGCAGCTGGCGCACGTGTAGTGGCCGGCGTCGCACCACACGCCATCAGGCTGCCCGGCGCCGTCGTGGTCGAAGCAGATGACGCAGGACGCAGCCATCACGCGAAAACGAGGGAGTCCGCGGGATCGGGAGTGGGCCTCACGCGAACGCGAGGGAGTACGTTCGGGATTGGGCCGGCTGGCGAAGGACGCGACCGAGTGGCTCTCGGGGGGTCACTAATCATCCACGGAGAAAAAGAATTATCCCGGTTGACTCGCACTCGCACGACTCCGAAGGCCTCCTCGCCATACGCACGCGCGGCGCCATCGACACCGCGGCCCAGATCGAGCACTTCGCCCCCCTCTTGGAGAAGCACTTCGGCAACATGGTCTCCATCCAGGAGGGATACCACTCCTTCCTGGGCACGAAGTCGGACGAGAAGGACGGCTCGATCCTCTTCAAGGTGAAGAACGAGAACCTCGTCTGCAACCTCCCGGTCCTGCCCAACGTCTACGCGAGCGGCGATGTCGGCGGACCCCTCCGCCTCGACGTCGGGTGCGTCAAGGTCCTCGGCAACAAACTCTGCCCCTCCTGCCGTGCATTTGGGTTGACCAACGCCGACATCATCCACGACGCGCAGTGCGCCGCGCAGGCGCTCAAGGAGAGGCGCGCCGCAGCGGCGAACGTCGCCAAGAAGAAGACCTTCGAGAGCCTCATCGTCGACAACAAGGTCGAGGTCGCGCGCGCGGCGGGCAAGGCCAAGGCGATGGCGGCGCGCGACGGGATCGGCTTCTGCCCGGCCTTCAACCAGACCGCCCTCCCGTGCAAGACCGCCGCTCGCTGCCGCTACGCGCCGTGCGTCAACTTCGAGGCGCTCCTCCACTCCGCCTTCAAGGACACTATCTACGAGCGCATGCCGAGCGCGGTCAGGCTGGGCACAAGCCGCGGGCGGCGCGGGCGCGGCGGCCGCGGCCGCGGCGGCGGCGGCGGCGAGGTCAAGAGCAACAAGAAGGACTGGGCGAGCGTCGCCCGCGGAACCGCACGCTCCCCCTACGACGGCGGTCCACGCCTCGAGTCCAACGAGCCCTCGCTATACGAGGGGAGCGACGAGGAGCTCTAGGAACGGCCGCCGAGCCCTTCCCGCAGCGCATCCCTAGCAGCGCAGCGGGCAGGGCGGCTCGCGCAGCGCGCGCGCGCGATCGCGCAAGCGGCGCGCGAGAGCGAGCGAGCGAGCACACACACACACACACACACACACACACACACACACACACACACACACACACACACACATGTTGTACACATGCACAGACACACAGCCCCTTCCCCTTCAAGGGCGAGGACACGCGCAGGGGTCGCACTTCTAGCGAGGCCCACAGAGTGGGAGACTCCTATCACAGCCACTGCCACCCACGTGTCAGTCTGCCTGTGGTAGAAGAGACTGCCGGTGAGAAGTCGGAGGAAGGTCGCTAGTCGAGAGAGATCGCCAGTGGATAGGGAGTCCACCGTGCTGCGAGCCTGTCGCTGTCCCTTGTCAGGAGCAGGAGAACTAGGAGAGCGCAACCAGTAGGAGGCCCGCGCTTGCCCCCGTGCCGCCGGGTGCAACCTGTCCTATACGAGAGAGGAATCCCTGGGACCCTGTCGTGAGGGTGAACCCTGCCCAGCCCCCCTCCGTGTCGCGATGCGCTCCCCGCTCCCGTTCCCCGGTGTCCCTGATCGTCCTTACAAGATCCTGCTCGTGCAGGTGGGGACCCTGTCCTTCTCCCACCCCTCGTTTGGCGTGTCCGTTGTATTTATTTATTTATAACCCGGAGGCCAGAAGAAACCATAATTGTCGCAATTGCAGTCCCGCTGCGCGAGAGCTGTAGGGTCAGGACTCGCCGCGGCCTCGTCCAGGACTCGCCGCGGCCCTAGTCCATCCAGGACTTGCCGGCCCGACGCTCGACGGACGATGTTGCTTGCTATTTCTCTCGCAGTAACAGGGCTCCTCGCCGCGAGTGGCCCTCAGCATGGCGCAATGGGCAGGCGCGCAGCAGGCCGAGACGTCACGCTCAAGGCTTCGATCACTCTCACCGCCGAGCAGGTGGCCGCATTTGGAGGCCCTGCACGTCGGCCGCTGTCAGAGCGCGACCCGGAGGTTACAGACCTCGACCCATTTGGGCGTCAGGCGTTCATCGGCCTAACGCCAGAGCAGGTCGCTGCCTTTGGAGGCCCGCAGGTTCGTCCGCTCAGCTACCCTCCCTTTGACGAGCCCGAGGCTGCGCTCAAGGATCTGTCCTCGCAGCTCTCGGACGCAGTGGCGGCCAACGCCAAGGCTGTCTCCGAACTGATCGCGGCGGGGACCGCGCTGCGGCTCGAGCGCGACCAGGTCAACACCGCGCTGGCGGAGGTTCAGCAGAAGAAGCAGCTCGCGCGCCAGCTGCGGTGGAGGCCGGCCAAGGCAGCGACGGCCAGCGGCGGCGGCGTCAAAGCGACGGATGACGGCGTGGGAGGCCTCCTTGCTGCCGCGGCCGCCGCGGCCGCCCTCTTCTTCGCGGCCAATCCCGCGTGAAGCAGAAGGTTCAGAGCGACAGCGAACGAAAGGCCCCCCCAGGGCCTACTTGAGCACGCTCTGCTCCCACCATGTGACCGATCGTACCCTGCCTCCGTGCGCGCAGCCACATTCGACGGCGACGCATGGAGCGCGCGTAGGAGTGAATATGTGAATCCCGCCCTGTTTGCCATGACCTATGGTAGGACCCAGTGTAAGGCCCACCGCACCTGGCTTGAAAGACATATGACCGCGTTGTTGGGGGTCTGATTTGTTTATTTAGCTTTGTCACAGGGGTTCTGCGTTGACACTCGCACGGAGGAGCAGCAGGCTTGGCCGCTTTGTATTTTCTCGCGAGAGAGGCCAGAGGGGCCGGGTCCCCGAGGGGCGAGGGCCCAACCAAGTCAGATGACTTTTTTTGCGGGCAAGGAGGGGGCCACGATTCTAAAAGAAAGAAGAGCAGCACGCCCGAATAAATAAATAAATAAAACGGGCACGCCAAACGAGGGGTGGGAGAAGGACAGGGTCCCCACCTGCACGAGCAGGATCTTGTAAGGACGATCAGGGACACAGGGGAACGGGAGCGGGGAGCGCATCGCGACACGGAGGGGGGCTGGGCAGGGTTCACCCTCACGACAGGGCCCGAGGGAGGTATGGGAGGAGGGGGCCACGATTCTTAAAAGAAAGAAGAGCAGAACGGCCGAGGGAGGTATGGGAGGAGGCACAGGCCCACGATTCTTTTCACGTCTGGCGATTCTTTTCTTCGCTAAATAGCGGTGTAGATGTTAGTGCCAGGCGCGCCCGTTCCTGCTAACCCCGCAAATTCTTTTCTTCGCGCCCCGACTCGCTTATCGACCGGGCCCTAGAGCCCCCTAGAGCCCCGCGCACACAGGGTACCGAGGACCCGTTGCTCTTTCGAGGACTCACCAGCTCACCGACCATGAAGCGCAAGCGCTCGGTTGAGCCCTCCACCGTCGAAAGGCCCAGGACGTCGAGCACTGCCGAGCGGCACGTCGTCCAGTACTTTCGCCGCTTCCGCCAAGCCAACGATCACGGCAGCACGAACGGTTTAGGCGGCGGCAAGCAGACTGTGCCTGACTGTCAAATAATGACGGACCTGCTCGACGCCGTGAGCGCAGCCGTCCCGACCGCGAAGATGCGCGAGGCGGAGATCAGGCAAGCATGCACGGCGCTTCGCACCTTTATCGTCGCGTATGGCGTGCCGCGCACCTTTCCCGGGCTGTCGGCGGAGACGGTGCTCCGCCTCGCACCCGTCGCGAGCCACCTCCGGTCGCGGCAGGGCTCGCTGGGTAGTGGAGACTTTGACGCCGCGGACGAGGTGGAGGCGCTGGCGGCGGCGTGCAAGGCCGCGGGCTTCACCTACGCCCGCTCCTTTGCCTCCAAGGCGTGGTGCATGCTCGGCATCGCAGTCCCGATCTACTCCTCCGAAGGAGTGGCGTACCTGAAGCACGCCGGCCACAGCCTGGGAGCGCACAGCTCATACAGCGATTACCTCGGCGCATGGCAAGCGGAGTACCACAAGGAGCGGCCCGCATACATGCGCGCCGCAGAAGTTCACCTCTCTGCGACGGACCCGCTCGAGCGGCGGTGCACGGCGGAGTGGTTCGCGATGCGCGGCTTTGACGTGAAGCTGATGGCGGTGGGAGGGCCGATGCGGTGAGGGGAGAGAGGGGGAGGAGGAGGGGAGGAGGGATCACATTCGTGTGAGAGACATGTACATACATGTTGTGACCGCGCAAGATATAAGGGTGTCCTAAGGGCTCTGCTCGCAAGGCGCCCGCGTCGCAGACGCGGTACCATTGACAAATCTGCAATATACCCCCACACGAGCAAATAGCAAAATCCGAATACCGTGCACGAACTGCGTGATGTCGGACCCAAGCCTTCAGCTGGTGCCAAGACATCGTAAAATTGAGCCAAGAACGTCCGCCAAATCCGTGCTTTCGCGCTACCTGAGGGGAAAGCCGCTGATCGAGCCCAGCGTGCCCGCGGCCGCCTCCCGCGCAGCACCGCCGCTGCGGAATCGGATCGATCCCATGGAGGAGGAGGGCGCAGTCGAGCGCAGCAGGCGGAGTCCCTCCCCGCGCCGGAGCCCCCCTGCAGTCGAGGGAGTCCTCGTTGGCGATGAAGGTGGCGACATCGAATCGCGGCCGACACACGTCACGTGGGAGGAATGGGCGATGAGCGGGAACGATGCGCGCTACGGCGCCGACTCCGCCGTGCTCGTAGCCACAGAAAGCCGCGCTCCAGGAGCACGCCAAGATGCAATGGCTCGCTTGCTTCGATTCAGCTCTCTCGGCAGCAGAAGTGGGGCTGGAGCGGGTGGGGGTGGATGCCGATTGAGGGGGAGCGTCTCCAGCTGCGCCCTGTGGCAGCTGCGCCCTGTGGCAGCTAGTCGAGGGACTTGGTAGTTGTGACCCCCCTGAGTGAAAAAAAATAAAATATTCTTAGCTTCAAGCCCCCCTCCGAGACTAGAGACAGAACCCAGAGATACATACGTCAAAGGGACTGCCCCCCGCCCCCACTTGCCCTGACTACACAGGATAGCGTGCCCCGATAACGGCGACACATAGTGGGGGACACTGCGCAAGGAGGGGGTGCGAAGGCTCATTG